TTCAGAAATGGGGGAGGGGAAGGGGGTTCTAAAATAAATAGGGAGAGAGGGGGAGGCGGATAGAAGATGGATAGAGGAGAAGATAGGTGGAGAGGAAACAGACAGGTAGATTACGAGAGAGTTGCAGTGATAGGAGATCCCCTGAGGTTTGTCTGGAGGGAGGAGGGTGACTTCTTCAGGCTAGGCATCCTTAGAAGTGGCTGCTCCTATGATGCTGCTTGGCCTGCTGTGTTCATCCAGCTCTACACCTTGTTATCTCAGATTCTCCAGTATCTGCAGTTCCTACTATCTCTGTTACAATTTTGACCCCTCTGTAAAACCTGTTCTAAGGATGCCTAGCCTGATGAAGTTACCCTCCTCCCTCCGGACAAACCTCAGGAGATCTCTCTCCCACTGCAACTCTCTCATAATCTACATGTCTGTTTCCTCTCCACCTATCTTCTCCTCTATCCATCTTCTATCTGCCTCCCCCTCTCTCCCTATTATTTCAGAACCCCCTTCCCCTCCCCCATTTCTGATGAAGGGTCTAGACCCGAAACGTCAGCCTTCCTGCTCCTATGATGCTGCTTGGCCTGCTGTGTTCACCCAGCTCTACACCTTGTTATCTCAGATTCTCCAGCATCTGCAGTTCCTACTATCTCTGACACCATCAAAATACAGCCATCTTAGGTTAAACTGAATCCAACCCTTCAGAACATAATTGTAGAGTAGGATCAACAGCTAGATCTGTGCAGATGAAAGCCACTCATTTATGTATCTCTATGGAGATGAGCTGTAAAGACAGTTGAATTAAAGCTGTTATTGACCATGTTGGGCTGCTGTAATTAATACATGGCACAAGTATAAAAGTAATTGTTCAGGTAATAGTAGTAAGAAGCTTTATTAGCATCTTTACGCTCATATGGAAACTGACTTCCTATCATTTGTGTGTCAGTGACTCACAGTAACTCCCACACTTAATGGTCGGGTCTTGGGGAGTGTTGCTGAAAAAAAGAGACCTTGGGGTGCAGGTTAATAGTTCCTTGAAGGTGGAGTCACAGCTACACAAGGTAGTGAAAAATGTGTTTGCTATACTTGCCTTTATTGGTCAGTGCACTGTGTGTTGGAATTGGGAGGTCATATTACAAAACAGACCCTTTGATCCAACACATCTATGCTGACCAGATAACCTAAATTAATCTAGGCCCTTTTGCTAGCATTTGGTCCAAATCCCTCTAAGCCCTTCCTATTAATGCACTCATCCAGATGCCTTTTAAATATTGTAATTGTACCAGCCTCCACTGCTTCCTCATTCCATGCACGCACCACCTTCTTCATGAAAATGTTGTCCCCTAGGTCGCTTTTTTATCTTTCCCCTCTCACCTTAAACCTATGCCCTTTAGTTTTGGACTCCTCTGCCCTGAGAAAAAGGCATGGTCTTTTGCTTGCTGTCCAACTCTATGACTCCATGACTCTTATTTTCAAGTAGTTCCTCAAGATTTTGCCTTGGATATCTGCATTGTACCCTTCTGTAGCAGCCTTTCATCAAAAAACCATCTGGAAGTCAACAATGGCCAATATCATTGTGGTTTTCAACATCATCTTGGGATATCGCCTGCTCAAAGACACCATGGATGATTAGACAGGGCCACAGCGGATGCCATATCCCTAACCCTGCACTCATCCCAGGAACATCTGGGCAACAAGGACACCTACGTCAGGCTCCTGCTCATTCACTACAGCTCCACCTTCAACACCATTATCCCCTCCAGACTGATCTCAAAACTGTGTGACCTTGGTCTCAGCTCCGCCCTCTGCGACTAGGTCCTCAGCTTCCTGACCCACAGGTTGCAATCAGTGAGGACAGGTAACTGCACCTCCTTCACAATAACACTCAACACTGGAGCCCCCCAAGGATGTGTCCTCAGCCCCCTACTGTATTCCCTGTACATGCACGTCTGTGTTGCTAAATTCTGAATGAACGCCATCTACAAGTTTTCTGATGACACCACCGTGGTAGGACGGATATCAAATAATGATGAGTCAGAATACAGAAAGGAGATAGAGGGCTTGGTGATGTGATGCAATGATAACAACCTCTCTCTCAACATCAGTAAAACTAAAGAACTGATCATTGACTTCAGAAAGAAAGGAGAAGAATACGCCCCCATCTACATCAATGGAGCTGAGGTTAAGAGGATGGAGAGCATCAAGTTTTTAGGAGTGACAACCTGGACTTCCCATGTTGATGCGATGGTCAAGAAGGCACAACAATGCATCTTCTTCCTCAGGCAACTCAGGAAATTTGGTATGTCCATAAGGTCCCTCACCAACTTCTACAGATGCACCATCGAAAACTTACTGTCCGGGTGCATAACGGCCTGGTATGGCAACTGCTCTGCCCAGGACTGTAAGAAACTACAGAAGGTGATGTGCGCAACCCAGACCATCATGGAAGCCAACCTCCCATCCATGGACTCCATTTGCATGGCCGTTGCAACAGAAAGGTTGCCAATATCATCAAAGACCCACCATACCCTGGTAATACTCTCCTACAACCTCTTCCATCAGGCAGAAGATACAGAAGCTTGAACACATGCACCAGCAGGTTGAAGAACAGTTTCTTCCCTGCTGTTATTAGACTGATGAATGGGCTCTCTAACTTCAAATAATGTTGACCTTGCTAATGTTGATCACCTTGTGCAATGTAACCTGTATACCTCCGACCAATATGTCCTTTCACCCTATGATCTGCCTGTACTGCTCATAAACAAAGCTTTTCACTGTACTTCGGTACACGTGACAATAAATCAATCAAATCAAACTGTTTGGAGTCTTTCTCTGTTACTTGTGCAAGAGGTCTAGTCATTACATCACCACTATTGCTAAATCAACTATCCAGGTAGTTCTCCTAAAACATGATAGTTGCGTTCTTGCATAACCTGGCGCTATAGCAAGTCACACTGTAGAAAATCGTTATAGAAAATCGCAATATAGTAAAATCACTATGCCTGTACAGCAGAAATTTCGCGTCATCCAAACAGCGTCTACTCTTCATCAATCACGTTACAGCCAATTTGTGTTAACGAAACAGGCGTTATGTAGCAGAACTACCTGTACATGATCCCCTGTGGCTCACCCAGTTTCTCCAGTGAAGAGCTGAGTTAGCCAAACCCTACCTCCTGTGAAAATGGAGCAGTGGACTTGCAACTGTGCTATTGCTGGGGAAGCCATTCAGAGTTTGTCCTTTCATTTCTACCTTTTTAACTCCTGCTGGAAATGAATGTGGAAGAAGAACGGGATTTTGCTCAGCTACCATGTTCCATAGGGTGAATTTGTCAAGTAACAATGTCTGTCAGAGTTTGCATGTGAATAATGATCAGTTGGGTGAGTTATCAGAGGACACCCAGCAGCTCTGTAATTATATGTCAGCGAGGCATGAATGAGATAAAGTAGCAAAAAAAATTGTGTTTTTTTTCACTGGAGAGCCAAAGAGAAAGGCTACTAGTGCAGGAAATCACTTGAGTCAAAAACAGCGAGAACAGACAGTATAATTTGAAGACACCAATGTTGGGTTTTAGCTGAACTTTCTGTGTGGGAGGAAACGATTTTTAAAAAGTTCAGATGTTTTTTGACATTCAGGGAAAGAATGATTTGGAGCCAAGGTGAGTTTTGGGTCTTGTTTTCTGAACTTTTGTTGAACAATTAATTTTGAAAGAGCAGAAGTCTAAAATGGGTAAATGAGATATTGCTGGAATACACATTCCAACAGCATAATTCACAAATTTCTGCTGGAATGGACATCTGTAACTGGTGCTCATATTGAAATTTGTTTCCTTCTTTCCAGCCCAAATATTTGAACACCCCTTTCATTTCTTTGCGATAAGAACACTTCTGCGACAAATGTTTGAATTTGCAGAGCTCTGTCTGTTACGTCAGGCTCAGGTTAATCATTTTTGTTTTGCTATTGGCATTTCCTCTTTCCACTTCCTCAAACAGAGACTTACCTTCTTAAGTAGCTGCACGTACTCTGTAATTACTCTGTAATTATTCATTCATGGAATGTGGGAGTCACTGTTGCCCAATCCTAATGCCCAGTTAAGATGTGGGCCTGGAGACACATGTAGACCAGGCCAAGCAAGGGCAGCAGATTTCCTTCCATAAAGGGCGCTAATGAACCATTAATGTTTGTCTTTATGACAGGCAAGAGTGGTTACATAGTTGCCATAAGGCTAACTTTTTAGTTTCAGATTTTTTTATTGAATTTGAATCTGCCATGTCCCCAGAACATTAGCCTGGTGTTCCGGATTTCTAACTCTCCTGATATTACAACCATACTACAGCTTTCTTTTCATACACTGCTCTGTAAATGCCTTACAACATTTTATTCCATAACTTTCCCACTAGTTGGTGATCTATAGGCTACACCCAATAGTGTAATAATACATTTGTTTTTTCTTAGGTCTAATCAATTAGATTGTGTACTTTGCTCTTCTAAAACCTCCTTCTCTCACTGTAACATTCTCCTTAATCAGTACAGAGATTCCTCCCCCAACTTTGAGATAGATTTAAATTACACTTTGACCTCTCAAGACTGTGGCTGTCCTTTAACGGCCGCAAGAAAATTGACACAAATTTGTGCTCAATGTTTTATCAGATTGTAATACCAGCAAAACAAATAGACAAGAGGAATGGTGTACACCAGTAGTAAAAACAGTATCAACTATTTCCAGAAAGCACTTTGCAAAGTGAATAAAAGCAATACAATTTCATAAAATAAACTAGTCATATTATAACAAAGAAAAACTGTTTTGAATTTATTCTGAGCTTTAGAAAATATATCCAGGGTGCATTTTCTACATGACTCGTTTTCTTAAGTACAATGGGTGCTTTCACATGACGTAAACAAGTTGTGACTCTGTATGTTTAACTGCAGAAGCAAGCTAACAGATGCAAAATGAAATCTGTACTCAAGCCCCTCCAGGCCACAAACATTCAGAAATTCAAAAAGAAACCAATTCTTATTTATTGTCCCTTTTGGGCTTCAAATAATCATAGAGCGGTTCCAGCCCCTCATATATGAGGTCTGGCAGTGGTTTTGCTAGGGGGTTGCATTTGATATGAAGGCCCTTATCAAGTGAATGACAGGCTATCCTTTCCAACTCAGTCAGCATGGGCAGGCTTGTTGGGAGATTTTCAATCTCATTATAGTTCACGTTGAGGAGCATGAGTGGCCTCAGCAAACAGATTGATTTCGGCAGAAATCTAAGCCTATTCTTCTCGGCAATAAATATCCTCATTTTTTCCAGTTGGCCAACACTTTCAGAAATGCTTTCGATTTTGTTGCAGCCTATGTGCAAGAAGGTCAATCTCCTCATCCGGTAGACACATGTGGGCAATTGCACAAACCGATTGTTGCTTAAATTGAGCTTTTCCAGTTGCCTCAGGTCTTCGAAACTCTCAGGGAGAGATGAAATCATATTGTATGAAAGACTGAGAACCTGGAGTTTTTTGCAGCGGCTTAGTTCTTGTGGAACTTCTTTGAGACAATTCCAGTCAGCAAACAGGACCTTCAGTTTCCTCAACAACCCAATTTCTTTTGGCAAAGCAGCCAACTGATTTCCCAGCAAATTTAGAATGACCAAATTCTGAAGGTTCTCAACACTGGAACTAATACGAAGAAGAAAGTTATGTGACACATTCAGTTTTTCTACCTCTGTTACCTGCCATGTAATTTTAGGGATTTCTGACATTTCCATCATTGCCAACTCTAGAGAGCTGTGGCCATAAACAGTCTTCAACTGACTCCTCAACTCAGCAGCCAAAAGTGCTTCTTCCTCTTCTGAAGGCACTTCTTTTTGCCTTTTGATTGATTTCCTTAGCTCTTCTTTTGAAACCTCCTTTGACACACAAATTCCCATCCTTTAATGCCCAGCCTTCGATATATTTTCTGCCAAGGTTTAATTTAGAGTAGATGACCTGAAGAAGTAAAATTCACAGTATTCAACATTATAGATATTATACAAAGCCAGCAAGTTCATAAAAAGACTAATTAGGTCGTCAGTATATATACCATTTACATTACACAAGTTACATTGCAAACTTGTTGCGACCTATTTTGTTTGCAAGAACTTCCCACAATAGGAAAGGTAGGAATAGTGTTGCTATCTCAAGGGAATGCTTCCAACATATAACTGCTATTGTAGACGGATCTGCTAGTCACACGCGCCTACATTACAAGGTGTACCAGTTTTCAGATTGTCCCGCAGAGAGTGAGAGCCCATGTTGCTGTCCCCAACATTGAATGTCATTACGCCAGCCTCTGTACATTTCATAAATGGCTCTGACTGCTCACCATATTTTATTATTTATTCAAGGGAATGTAGTCACCACTGCTGGATCTGCGTTTATTGCCCATTCCTAATTGCTTGCAGAAGGTTGGTGGGGCACAACCTTGTTGGAACTGCTGAACTCTGTGGCGTGTAGAGTCACCCACTGTGCTATTAGGAAGGGTGTTCCAGGATTTTGACCGAGTCACAGTGAAAGAGTGCAATATAGTTCCATATTGGGATGGTGAGTGGGCTGGAGGGGAACCTGCAGGCAGGTGGTGGTGTTTCCATGTATCTGCTACCCCTGACCTTCTAGGGGGTAAAATTTGGGGGTTAGAAGGAGCCTTAATGAGTTGCTGCAGTGCATCTTGTAGACGTCACACACTGCTGTCAATGCGCATCAGTGGGGAAGGGAGTAAATGTTGAAGGTGGGTGGATGGGGTGCCAAACAAACAGATTGCTTTGTCCTGAATGGTATCAAGCTTCTACAGTTTTGATGGAGATGCATTCATCCAGGCAAATGGAGAATATTCCATTGCACGCTGGCTTGTGTCTTCCAAATGGTTGTCACTCTTTCAGAGGGAGAAGGTGAACTACTCACCCAGAATTCTTAGCCTCTGACTCGTTCATCTAGCCACAATTTTTAACTGGCCGGCTCAGTTAAGTTTCAGGTTGTTTCTCAAGAATGCACTGCCTGAAGAAAGAACTGGGGAAAATGGGGAGACTCAAGATCACTGACTTCAGCATAATTTTTTTCTTTTGTTCATGGATTGTGCATGTTGCAGGTAAGACCAGCATTTATTGTGCATTCTTAATTACTTTTGAGGTGGTGAGCTGCCTTCTTCAAACACTATTGTTCATGTAATTATAGTTACAGTGCTGTTAGGAGGGAAGTCCAAAGTCTTGACCCAGTGACGGTGGAGGAACAATAACATATTCCTAAGTCACGATGGTGATTGACTTGGAGCACAACTCACTGGGAGTGATGTTCCGAGGTATCAGTTTCCTTTTCCTTGCTAGGTGTTAGATACCACAAGTTCGCTGATAAGGGGCCTTGGTGAGTTGTTGCAATGCATCTTGTAGATGGCACACATTGTTGCTGCAATGTGTGTGTGTTGGAGGGAGTGAATGTTGAAGGTGACAGTCAAGGTATTTGCATCCATTCTAATGTGTGAGGCCCAATCCACCAGTCAATATCTGTTACCTGACTTCTCAGAATTGTTTTAATATATTTGTATTTAACCTTGCAGAGACTTAACTGAGTAGAATAGCATTGTTACCTTCCTAATGGTACAAGGCAAGAAAAAATAATCTATGTGGTGCTTTATTTTATATTCCCACTTTCTTCCCACCTTGCTTGAAATTGATTAAGTGGACTTTAAAAGGCAGTGCAATCTCTGCCCAAAAATACAAACAACTGATAAAATTAGATGCTAATCCATGGAAGCTACCTTGAACATTAACTACTCATTGACTGCATTGTGTGCCTATAGAGGTCTCTTGACAATTGGCTAATTATGACTTCATTTACCAGCTAAAGAACGATACCCTTGACTCCTCATAAGCAATGCCACAAGGCAGAATTTTCACTCTGAGTGATGTATAATTCATACCTGTACACTTTTTTTTATTATGGTGATCAAAGCAATTATATGTTAGTTGATCTCTTTGAGTGCTGCTTATGATAAGTTAGAGGATCAACAATGGAGCTATTTTTCTGCGAAAGCTACTGTTAACTAATAGAATGAGCTTGAATAAGTTTATATTAAAGAATATTGAGTTCCCTGACCATTATTGTCCATTATTACACATATAACACCCATTTATTTACATAGGAATCTGCTTCTTTCTTTCCAGTTTTAAGGTTAAGAATGCATAGCACGGATCAAATATATCAGTTGATGTTAGATTTCAGAAGATGGAACTTGATTGCAATTTTGAATATTGCAGTTCTGGTTAAAATCCACTTGAGGGAGGGGTCAGATAATGGTGGGAACACAAATCCACCAGATTTCTTCTGGGGAAAAAAAAAATTCCAAAAATGTCTCAGTCTCATGAGAGAAGGATGTTTTGTGATATATGATGGGGAGGAATTATCTGGATGCATTACCTCACAAGTGGTATTTACTGTATGCAGTTACCAGCTTGTGTATAACAAGTCTTTTTCAGCAGTTTCTTGAGGGATGCCCTACAGGCCAGTCTTAACTTCACTTAAAGTGCAGCAGAAAAAACCCACTTACCAAATTAAGTGGCATCATAGCAATGAAGAGAGAACAATTCAACAAACTGCTCAACCTTACTTTGCTTATGAGAAGTGTCTATATATTGCCCTCACATGACAGAAAGGATAGCAGAAAGACCCAACTCAAAATTGAATACTATCTAATTGTGAAAAAATGATATCAGTTTTCAGAAGGCTATGTCAGTAAGAAAATAGAATGGCATTAAATAATCTGGAATCTTAACTATTCACGCAACACACAGGAGCCATTTCTAATCTCCTTATGTTTGTTTTATTACTTAACTTCCAAAGGTTTAGTAAAATATTTACATGCACGCTACGATTCTAACAGAGATACATATATAGAGTTTAAAATGTTTAACACTTTGTGTCAAGAACAGTATTCCATCAAATCATGTTTGAGTTGTGTTCATTCTACTATAGAAATATTTAATAATCATCAACACCGGAGTTGCTCAAAGCAGAATTCAAATTAAGATAAAAATATTAGCTGCAATATCATTTTCTAAATACTTATAATGGATAAATTCAAGTCCTCTGTTTGAACTCCGTCTAACACAGAAAGCACTTTTGTAATTGTGGACGAGGTTAGTTTAAGTGAGGCCAAGTTTCAGAATGCAGCTGCTCCTGTCACTAGAATTCACGTAAGAGTGGAAAACCTTCTGGTATACAAATAGATCACTCATATTACTCTGGTGGGGAGAGATTTTAAAGAGGAGTGTGAGTTCCATGTTCAGTAACACAAATTGATCTTTATTTGAGGCTCCTTTACCCCACCTGTGGGAGAGGCCCAAGACTGATCCACAGCTGGTTTTCATATGGGGTCCAATTGCCACCTTAGGTGAAGCTCAGATCGGAGGTCAGTGACTCTCTACCTTTCCCAATAAAGTACAGGATATTTACACTTACCGCGTTACAATGGTTACATGCAACAATGACATCAGTGCTTGCCACATCCCCTCTGACGTACGCATCCAATCCTGTGAATGCATAATCAATGATGGACAACTTCATGGTCCACCTTAGAACTCCTATCACCTGTCCTTGGGCCCATAGGATTATTGACCACATTCCAACACCGACTGTTGTGTCCCTTTCTAGACATTTGTCACCTGCATCATATACTTGCTTATTACTATTGAATTATCAAATTCAGTTATGCAATTCATATCCCTTGCTGAACTTCGTGCAGAAGATTAAAAGTAAGGCTAATTTCTACCAGTTGTTATAATGTTTGTAACATCAGCTGTAATGTAAAGTTACTTATAAAGTTATACATAGTTAAACCTAATACCATGATTCTGTGACAAAGCTAACAATTTCAGGAACAGTTTCCCTCTTCTTCAACTTGTGAAACAGCTCTCGAGATCACAGTGACCCTGTTTCGAAATTGTTTCTGCCTCCCTTGCTATGTTATTTGGCTCTTGGTACTCTTACAAGGTTATCTTATTTATACCTTTTTGTTGTTCTAGTCTTGCTGATGGAGAAAGTTTCTTCAAGGGTATTTATTGAAACTAGACTCTGCATCCAAGGCTACCTGTCTTCAGAAATTTAATTCCCCAATATCTAATAAATTTAAACTCCTTTCCTTGTGTGAATGTGTGTCAACTCTGATATGTAATTATAATTATTTAGAAAGCCTCATCTCAGGTAGGTCAAGTGTTCCCTTTCTATTTCATACAAAAATCAGAAATCTCAATCAGATGGTTTTCATCTGAGCTGTCTTATCAGAGTCTTACTCTAATTACATCTTACTAAGACTCAGAGGCATTCTGTTGTCAAGCTGTGAAGATTTGAGCTACATGAAATGCTACATCAGCTAATATTTCCTTCAATTGTCTGTGTCAGTTAAAAAAAACCCTAACAGCCATTGTGTCATATTCAGCCATGGCCAACTATAACATACTTGAGAGAGATAGTAGGAACTGCTGATGCTGGAGAATCTGAGATAACAAGGTGTAGAGCTGGATGAACACAGCAGGCCAAGCAGCATCAGAGGAGCAGGAAGGCTGATGTTTTGGGCCTAGACCCTTCTTCAGAAATGGGAGCTGCTGCTTGGCCTGCTGTGTTCATCCAGCTCTACACCTTTACAACATACTTGATTTATTTTTATGGATGGCAGGAACTGCAGATGCTGGAGAATCTGAGATAACAAGGTGCAGAGCTGGATGAACATAGCAGGCCAAGCAGCATCAGAGGAGCAGGAAGGCTGACATATCTTAAGATAGCCCTTCATTTTCAAATAAGCACCTCTCACAAGGGAAGAACTATAAATAAACATGAAGTTCTTGAGTTCCGTTTTAATTTTAAAGCCTGTTTATTTTCACAAATTTTTAAATCAACTTGTCAAAGATTGCTTTTGTCAAAATGCAT